CATACACACACACACACACATACACACACACACACGTGTCAGTTGAATGTAGCTATTCTATTTCCTTTAGTTTAAGAAAATGTCTGATCATCTCAGGGCCCCACTCTCAATGTATGACCTACGAAGAGCTCCCAACTTCTGCAACAGATAAAACGTACCAGATCTCCTCTGATACGCATTGCTTAAAGGTCACACCCAAAGACTGGTTAATAAGATCCCTGGCAACCGCTTGAGTGGTTTGAAAACACAGAAATGTGTTTTGTGGTTAACAGTTCTGTGCGGATAATCCATAAAAAAGGTTAAATTCCATTAAGCTTGGATTTGTGGTTTCTTTTTTTTTTCTTGCAATTGCCTAAAAAATACATAAACCATAAAATATTAAGAAGTCTTATACCTAGGCAGCTCTTAATTGTTGTCCTACAGTTGTTTTATAACAGTTTTTTTGTGCTGGATAATTGATTGAATTTGCATTATATGAATAGAACAAAAAAAGTAGAATTTCCAAATTTTCCAAATCACAGATCCTCTAAGTTTTTGGTTTCACTACATTTGACAAGAATTGGGCGTTAAAATTCCCACTCCATCCCTGTAGGTTTCAGTAATAAAGTAGACGGCTTAAAGTGAGTTTGCACCACACAGGAATTAGAGAGGGTTGTAGTTAGCTTGTAGATCCATTCATTTAAGCTGGAAGTTAGCATTTTTCCATACAACGGCAAAGTCCTTCCATGGAATCTAGAAAGAAGAGCACTCAAAGCTTGAAAAACGATCAAAAGCCTTTACCAGATAATTAAGTTTTTTATTTAAACATTAAAACAAAATATTCCTCCTGCTCCTTAATAAGAACAAGCATAATTACAGCCTTATTACTTGCATATAACATTTATTTTTGCCATTGATGTTTATATACAGACATAAATCTGAAAATAATACCTGTTACATTTATTGATAGTGCTTTTATGGTTTCTTCGTTTAATGGTACCCATTTGTTGCTGCCCTGGCTCTGATAGAGCAGCACCAGTATGAACATTTCAGCTTATCTGCTGGGATACCCAGCCTGCAGTTAGCAGCCTGATGAACATACTATGTTCTGCTCCCCAGCTGTAGTTCTAAAACAGGGTCACCTTAAGTTTCTGATGTTGCCTCTTTATTTTTATACCATTATGTCCCTTGTTGAAGGTGGAAATATTTCCAGAAAAGATGTCTTTCTAAGCGAAGGAGAAATGCAGTTGGCAGAAACAAGTGGGGGAGGGGGGAGCACTGTATTGCTTTATGTTCTGGAGACAGATAATGCATAAAATATTTTTCGGTTCCATTCCATTACACCAAAGTAGCAGTTTGTTAAAGCATTAAGTTGTGACCAATCGGCCATTTATCAGTGACGTTTGAAAACAAAGATGTTCTATATAAACATAGCCTATAAATATGCCACCTTATCTGAACCCTCACAGGCTCCATAGTGGGTTATATAATACAGTCTTATTCGAGGACAGACTTTCAACAATCAAACTGTAGGAACTTGTTTGTTTGTTTCTGGCATGTCCACACGTGTTCTAGTTACCCTTAAATTAGCAGACAGATCATACTTTTGAGTCCAACAAGGCTTCTAAGTCTTAGGAAAAAAATCCTGGCTTTGCTTTTTAATCTTTTTCCTAGTAAGGAAACAGAAGGAGCTTATAGATGTATTTGAAATAAGTTTTTAGTTAGTTTATGCTGGTACTGTTTTGTTGCTTGGGTATAGAACAGATCTATCTTGATGTCAATTGTGAACAAAGAGGACGGGGATGAAATGCAATCTCTTTTTGACAATATCTCTTCTTTTTTAAATCAAAAGATGGATCAAGGCGGAGTGAAGAAGATAGTCTACAGAAGAAATGACCATCTAAGCAAACTGGTCTACACTGAAAGCCCTGAGGAGGGAGGTCTTCTGAAAGTGGCTCCTCACAGTGCCATGTCCATCACCTCTCCTCCTTCTGTCGTTCTTCCATCCAGTCCCTTAATGCAGCCCGGACAGGTGACCAACGGCCTCAGCAACAGCCCGCTCCCAGAGGAGCTGGCCTCAGCTCCCGCCACTATCGGCTCCTTAGTTGAAAACTCAGAAACCAGGGGCCCAACCAAAGATCAGAGGCCCGTGGAGCTGCAGTTGTTTCAAACTCAGACTTCCAATACTTTTGGGCATCAGGTCCTGCCTCAGTTGGATGCCAGCATGGCAGATATTACCCAGTCCTCCATGGATTCACTCATTGGAGGGTCAGATCCCAACTTATTTGCTGTGAAAACTGAGGATTTCTCCATGGATAAAGGCGAGCAGGACCCCAATGATCTGGACCATGCCTTTGACCATATTGGTAAAGATGTGGACATGAACCAGAAACTGTTCAACGAAACCAGTCTGGATCTCCTTCAAGAGTTCGACCTGACCGCATCCCCGTCCGATTTTTACGTCGGGGAGGACGCCTTTTTGTCCACACTGGCGGACGATTCTTTGCTCACGGAAGGAGAGATGAGAGGGATATCCGAGAGGGACATGAAACCCGCAGCCGAGAGCGTCAACACGTCCGGGAGCAAAGTGACAAGCTCACTTGAATCCAGCACCAGTGTGTCCAAGTCTGCCTCTTTAACCCCTACAACCACTTTCCCCGCCGTGGTGAAAAAAGAAAAAGATACCAGCTATATTCAGCTCTGCACGCCGGGCGTGATTAAGCAGGAGAAGACGTCTGTGGGCTATTGTCAAATGGGTGACTCAAACCCCATCTCTATCTGTGGGGTGAGCACCTCAGGGGGGCAGAGCTACCACTTCGGAATCAACGCCAGTAACAACGACGCTCTGCGGGAGAAGGACCAGAAACCAGTGTCTGGCCTGTTCCTCCCAGTAACGACCATCGGTGGAGCCTGGAACAGGAACCAGAATGACAGCTCAGCAGTGCGCAGGGCCGGCGACGTTTTCTCCACATCTCCCTCCTTCTCCTCCAGCTTTGCCAGGTAAATGCTATTTTGGGAAGTTTTTTTTTTGTTTTGTTGTTGGTAGCAGTGTTGCATAATGCTACACGGTTAAATAAACCTTGAAAACTTTTTTGTAAACCATTGGGGGGGGGCATGAAGAAAAGCTCCAATTCATCAACACTAAAAGCAAACATTCACTTTACACCAGCAGCCTTGTTCTCAGATCTACTTACTAAAATTATTCTTTTTTCTAAAGCAAAGACGTTTCAATTCCTTACAAAAAAATAAACACACATTTCATCCTAAAAGTGTCTTATCTAGGTTTGTTTAGGGAACATTGAAGCTCCTTTATTACGAAATTGAACCTATTCACAAAGTTTGGCCTATAACCAGGGATTTCAGTTGCTGGCCTAAACCTACCATTAATAACTATCGGGCAGCTTGCCTTCTTACAAAGTTACAGGCTGAAGATCTGCCAGAATAACGTAACCAATTCATCAGAACAGACAGATGCACTTGTTTAAAAAAAGTTTTCTGTTTGGGATTTGGTTTCAAGTATTTATTTTGGTTTATATTTCAAGCAGGATGATTAATACAGTTTTGGTTCGACAGGCTGTCTGCTCAGGTGGTGCTAGTTGTTAACCAACCTTTAAGTATTAAAACCTCCTCTGGTAAAGTGGCTGTTCTATTTTTTTCCTGAGCAGAAATGCTTCCAGAATAATGCTGCTGGTTTTACAGATGGTGGTGGAAGTTGTGATGGCACTAGGGCTGAACCAATAAATCGTGATTAATCGATTATTGAAATAATCGTAACCTAAATTAGTTATCGATTAATCGTCAGCTGTAGCATAGAGACTCTAAAATATGCCTTTAGCTGACAGAGAAACCCAATTAGAGCAATAATTCTATAAAAATTGAAAAAAAAAATTGTGAAGACTTTACATTTAAGTTAAAAAAAAAATTTTTGTCTGTTAATATGCATTATCTAGAACTCCTAAAAATGGAAAGGTTTTAGTTTCATCTGGTTTTCTTTTGTAAAAAAAAAAATCTTTAAGAAACCTTTGGCTATTAGATTATATAAAACCCTTCATTATCCCACAATGAGGAAATGAACTCTCTGTATTTAACCCATCCCCTTGGGGAGCAATGGGCTGCCATTGTGTGGCGCTTGGGGAGCAGTTTAGGGTTAAGGGTCTTGCTTAGGAACCCAGATTTCAGGCTGTAGGGATCGAACCGGTATTTGTTACGGTATGACGCAGACATTTTTGAGTTATGCCCAATATTGAAGCATTGTCTGCGCTATGTTATTCCACGCCACAACGCAAGAGGGACAATCAGGAACTAGCTGTGGTTCTAGATATGGCCGAGGCGGTGAGGAAGTGGGGGCAAGTTTGTCCAACAACAGAGGGACATGAGGGCGAAAAAGAGCGGGGATCCAGGTGGAAAAAAAGGGTGCCAGCGTTCTCGTGCACCTCGCTCTTTTAGCTGGTTCAACTTCACAAGTTGTTATCCCCAATGGCGGTCATACAAACAAAACAAGCAGATAAGGTACCAAACAGAAAAATGCATAGAGTACAACGGATGTAGATTTGACCAGTCAGATGTCTCCTGCGGTCACCTACAATTTGGATGGGGCAGGGACGTCTCTGCGTTCACTGTGACACCTACCAAGATCACCTAGGCCCAGTCCACACGAAGACGAACCCTGGCCTAAACGCACAAATTTTTCACCAAACCAGCCTCTCATCCACACGAAGCCGGCGTTTCGGGGGTCTGTAAACGATCTTTTTTTTATTCAGCCTTCAGAGTGGGAAGATTTCGAAACGCCGTTTTCGCGTTTCCATCTTTACGCTCTAACCGCATATTTTTTTTTACACGCATGCGTCATAGCGTCGCCTCTAAACACGCATGCGCGACACATCACAACAACAATGGCGCCGTTGCTGCTAATGCTACTCACCCTGCTGTCGGGCTTACAACAGAATCTTCTTCTTCTGGAAAATCTCCAGGAAGAACAGAGCAATATCGACCACATAGTTCAGCACCTGAATTTGACTTAACCACGAAAATAGACCCGCAGGGCAACCATGTATAAATATTAGTGCGCATGCCCAACATTTCGTCGCTTATTTTTGCTTTGGCACCACAGCGCCACTTACAGGCCTGGCATACATTTTGCAGCGTTTTCATGCATTCGTGTGGACGCTCACATTTATTTTACGTCTCCGTCTTTACGACAACGTTTTGGAAAATATCAGCGTTTCGTGTTCGTTTTGACTTCGTGTGGACGGGGCCCTAGTTTCGAATTAGAAATCAGCCTTAAAAAGTCCCAGCTAACCCAAAAAATCTCTCAGCAGGGTGCAAAATTTGGACTTTAACTTTTCAAAACTTGTCACTGGTAATCAGCCCATTCATCAACTGGACTCTGAGGCTAATATTTCTGAATTTTTGAGTTCATCTTTAGAAGTTAAAACAACAAAGGAGGGATGATTTAAGAGGCATTTATATCTAAATACAGAGTCCTCCCACAATAACTCTTCTGTAAGGCTGGGCCATTGTTTTTGTTTTATTTGCTTTTTTAAAATGTAAGAAAAGGTAAATTTTTTTTATTTTAAAACAGAAAACCCATAGGTAGATACTTCCAATCCAAGTTTTGATGAGAACATTTGAACAAACCGGCCCTGTTTTCACATGCATGATACCAGCTTTTATGGCTGACTTTCTTTTATGCACCAAATTCTTATAGAGAGATGAGCAGCACATGGAATTATTTGCTGCATGCTTTCAGTCAGGTGTCATCATGCTTTATAACCGTTGGCTGCTAATTTGTTGTTTGCTCTGCTTTATTGCTAAGCTTTACATAACCTTTGAGCAATGAAACAGTCTCTGTGTCGCCATTGGTTTGGGCTGTTGGAGATATAGCCTCTGTTGTTTTAGAAAGAGGAGGGGGGGGGGACCAGACCATTTCTCAATTAGTCTTTTCCAACAAGATGCGTTAACAAAAAAAAAGTAATCTGAGTTGAAAATAACCGATTGTTGTCATTCTATTAATAGTTTAGCTCAGACAGGCTGTTATCTGGTTTCATACAGTTAGTGAGGCAGAATAACTGGTCTTACAGTGTGTTTATAAGTGGTTGGCTTAGTTTCCAGACAAGACGTTGAAATTCAAACAGCTCATTATTACATAAAGTTGATGTAAAATAGAGATTACATTTAAATTTAATAACTTCTGGGTAAAAAAAAATGGAGAAAAGGTCTGCTGAGCCCATCAAGTAAAAAAATGGCTTGAAAATTCATTAAATGTCCGGTAGCAAAAGGATTATTTCATATCTTTAGCGATTTATTTTCAACAAGATAAGCGACTTGATTTTGGTAGAGAAGTTCTGGAATGAACTAGTGACTGTAGTCCTATCTGCATGACCCTGATTACTCAGATCCAGTCAGCAAAGCGCTGTGATTAAAAATACCAGTTTGCAGTAATGACAACTTTCAGTGTTGATGTCATTACTGAGGGAAGAAGAGAAACATTTAGTGGGTGTTCAAAATGAAACAAAGGAAACAAAAAGAAGGAATTTTAATGTCAGAGCTTATCGGTTGTTCACTCAGGCTGCAGACAAAATGTGTGCTCCCAAATACGTCATCCAAGCAATACTCTGATTAATTTATACTCAATGATATTGAGATGATTACAGTTCATTGTATTGAGCAGCTTTTACATTCTTATTATAGTTCTTAAAGGTACATACTTACCTTATTTTACTTTTTCCAGTATTCTAAAAAAATTGAAGTGTAAATGAAAAAGAAGAAGAAAAGTACCTGTATGATGACCTGGATTTAGATTATCAGCCAATATCTGATACTGATCCAATTGAACTGTTGAATGGAGGAACCATATTTTATGAGAGTGAAGGATTTCGCCTTGTTAAAAAAAGGTAACTAATTAACTGATCCAGCTAATTGGTCAATATTGTAGATATCTGATCACAGTATCAGATTGGTGCATCACAAATTTTTACACAGTAGCTCTCTCTCGTTGCATGCAAAGTTTTTTACAGATTTTTTGTCTTTCTGGTGTATAAATTGTTTTTTTTGTGTAAACTTTGTTTTTGCTCATGCTGTTTTTTAATAAAGCCCTTTGTGTAGATTTCCAATAACAATGGAGGTAGGACAAGGAAGCAGCTAACTCCAAGCCATCATTTTCCATTCAAGTTTGGAAACAGTGAAAAAATTTCCAAGATCATGTGAAAATGAAAAAAACAAAACGGTAAAAAAAAAAAGTGATTCCAGCTGAAATGAGACTGGAATAGCGCTGGGAGTAAAGTATGAGGATTGGTGTTACTAAAGCTGCCGAGGCATTCAGATGTGGCTGCAGAGTTGATGGACATGAGTAGACGTCCTTATTAATGCTTCGATAATAGTGATAACAATGCTATTATTGGTTGGTCCTCACCACGGCAAGCTGCAGCTTTAACACAAGGGTTTACAGGACGGTTGAGCTCTATTTAGTTGTCGCCATTCAGCTTTGTTGGACATCAACAGTTTCGCCAGCACATGGCATCTGTTTCTATCAACTCATCGCACCCTTGCTTGAATTCTATTTAGTCTCAAAAAGGACTATTAAAACACCATCAGGATGGATACCTGGATTTATTAAAGATGTCCTGATTCAGCTTTTTCATTTCTGATACGATACCGATATTGCAGTTTTGACCCAATATGATATCACATTGAATCATACATACTTCTATCATTTAATTTGTAATCTGGCACATTAGAAAAGGCTAGATCAAGTGATATTTCTCAAACCGAGAACAAGACTTAACAACGTCAAGTATGAGAACAACTAGTTAATTTATTATTCACTACAGAGTTTCATAAACTTTCAACAAAAGCAGATAGAAGCAAAGTGTTTCTATGAGTTTTCTAATATAAGATATTTTAGAGGCCGGCCGATATATTCTAATATTCATTTGTTGACTGATTTTGGATATTAATATTGTGTCGTGACATCTTCAGAGTATATAACCTTATTTTATGTT